TTTAAAAGAAAAGATCGAGTAGGTCAGACAGAATTAGAGATGAGAATTGAAAACCGGTTCCTAATCAGAACCGGTTCTGTGTGTTCCAATTCCTTGGCACTGTTTGGCAGCTCGCTTACCGATTCTCTTAGTTTCTCTTAACGGTGCAAGACATCACCAGAGCCTAGAGCTCTGGGCAGCGCAACTTACAATTTTTTACACAAGTTATGCACATGGCATTCAGTAAGCAAGTACGACGTGACCAGGCGTAAGTCTAGAAAAAGGCCAAACAAACAAAATGGCGTCCAATCAGGTAAAGCGATCAAAATTTTGGCTCCATGTTAAGGAAGAGAAAGATTGCAACAAGGCGTTTTTTGCAATCATTGCAAAGTGGCAATTACATCAACGGGAAGAAATACATCCAACATGCAGAAACACCTGTCCATACAACATGGCATACATTTTAACGGATGCCGTGTTTTCATTCCTTCCTGACAGAAGCTAAAGTTACGAACAGCATGGAAGGCAACTCTGGTGATAAGTAGCTAGTTTTATATCATGGCTGTGCTTAATGTGATTACTAGTAAATCATATGCCATTTCTGGAAATAAACCAATTTCCTACCTCTCTTTGGGTTTATTAAGGGAGTGTGCCTTTCTCGTTAATCCAGCCCTTCATTGCTAGCATGTTTATTTGAACCACTGGTTGCTGGCATTTTTACATGATTCTAGCTATTGCAATGGATGTGACGAAACATGCTACAAAGTTGCTCTGCAGTTCAGTGAGCGAGAGAAACGCGACACAAGATTTAGATGACTGTGACGAGAATCGATAAGGAATTTAATCGTTTCACAGAATCGATAAGGAAATTGTAATCGTGAAAATCTTATCAATTCCCAACCCTAGACAGAATAGTCTTTAACTTGACCACACCTCCCTGTGTAAGCCAGTCTGGCTGTCAAGGCTAAATATCTGCTGCTGTTTTTTCTACTATCATCCAAACTTCCTATAACCAGTGTCTTAAGTTTCCACAGCCTGCAGAACTGTAATTTTAGGTAATGAACAGGCACTACAATAATATTCACTATAAAAGAGAGAGTGCACTGGCTGCTGGAGCTCCCGGTCTGTTCCATGTAACGTGGTCTGCATGCTGAAGCAGACAGATGATGAAGAAGACAGAGAAACTCAAACATGCTAGTACTCAACATTCACATTGAAACACATAGTATATGCTAGCATTAGCCTAGCACTTCCTAGCATCAGAGGGTATGAGAAGCCATTATTGATGACTGTACCTTGATGTTTTAAGGTATAATTTTTAGGACAAATGATAGATCTTCACATTTCTTAGATCATATGATGTCAAAACACGGAAGAAGGATTTGTTAGCGACCTAGCCTGAGCAGCGTTTTGAAGGAAACTTGGGATATGTGGTTTAGGCAACAAAATAAAATCTTTCAATGTCCAAAACATGACAGCAAAGTCTGCTGCAAAGTCTGCTGCTGAGCAGCGTCGTTTAGGAATGCGCCAAATTTTTTAGCCCGAAAACAGAAATTTTCATAAGTACATTAAAATATAAAGGGCATAACAAACAACATGTCAGTGGTACATTAATATTTTTATACTTTTGTAATTTACTCATTGAAATGCCTTAATTTTAGCTAGGTTAGTACACTGCATAGCCAAAGATGCTGTGGTTGTAATATCTGACCTAATAATTTATTTCGGTTTTTGGTTTCCGGCTTTGGGATCCTCATTCTTTGTTTTCGGTTTCGGCTAAGGATTTTCATTTGGAAGCGTCCCTAGCATTGTTCTTTGCTACAAAATCACAATGCAATGGTGGGGGCTTTTCAGTTCTAGTTATAAACGCACCATTGAAAAACAACTTTTGCTGTGAAAGTTGCCAGTGAAAGAAGATCCCTACCTTCATTATTGAGTAGTGAGTAGTATAAACACAAAGACAAAAGCCATCCAACAGGGAAGTATCATTTCTATTGAAGGACAGAACTAGACTTTAGCTGGTTTTGGTCATTTCTCTTTATTTTTGTGAACAGTAGAAATAGGCTAATACAACAGCCGGTCGATATTTGGCAGAAATTAGTGTATTTTTCCTGTATTTGCATCCATCAACACATGCATGCATTCACAAAATCATTAGCCACTCCCTCTATCTGCTCTCCATTTTGGATCCACATCAGCCGTTAAAAACCTGTATTAGCAAATCTCTATTCTGTAGATTCCTTTCTTTGTCTTTTGCACACCAAACCTGTCATGGAAGATGCAGCAACTGAAATGTTTTCAGGCTTTTAATTATCTCACACTCGTTGTAAAGGTCTAATTTGGACGAGGACTAACATTAAGCTAATCATACTAATTGCCTCCATTATAAGCTCTCCTGCTAATGTAAGAAATCACCATTTTAAACACTGTTGTTTATTGCATCCTGGATAGGATTCATTTGGTTCAACCAGTCAGAGCTGGGCAACAATCTCTGGTTGGTACATGATCTTTAATTAACCCACTTTATTTTGCGGTGCAGGTTGTAAATGTATCTCATCCTGAACAAGAAAGGCAAGCTAACAAATAAAGCCACTTTCCCACTGAAATGATTTGTTTTTTTTCAAACACGGGTCGACCTGCTAAATAT